TTCTTACGATTAATCTCAAGTGGATTGCCAAGGGTAAGCGGTAAGTTCTTTCTATTTTGGTGCTTTTTGTTAAGTGTACTTATCTATTAAAAACAAAATATATATATATGTATATATTATTTTTACGCTCTACATACTACTACCGCTTTATAACTCTTGAGCGCTCATACAAAGTACTACAGTGTGATACGGAATTGGAACGAAAAGTCAGCGAGGTCGAAAGAGAATTGTCATGATATGCTTTAGTTTTTGTTGTTTTCATTTATTTTGCACCTTTTCAATGTTATCGCGAAAAATGTGCCTCAGCTTGGCGTACACTTTTTCGAACACTTCACTTAGGGCCATTTTAACTTGGACGACAGGATCCGGCAATCAGTTATCAAAATTATAGGGACTTTTTGTACAAAGTTGTATGCGGCATGTCGTAATGCAGCGACGAAATGGTTCTTTCTAAGTCCGGCACGTCACTCAGTCATAACGAGTCAGCCGTTGGGCATTCGTTGTTGTTTGTTGCCAAGTGTGGCTTGCTGGTTGTCGGTCGGCGCTGGCTCTGGCTCTGGCTTTGGCTCTGGTGATGGTGGCGGCTTTTAGCTTTGTTCTTTCAAACTAAATTTAAATGCAGTTGGACAGTCAGTCAGGCGTACATGTTCATATATATGTACATGCAGGCAGCAAACAGACAGACAACAGGCGGACATGTTGTCCCGGCTGGCGTTGCTGCTGCTGCGTAGCTGCCATCGCTGGTGGGTATGCCTTTCTGCCTGACTACAATCTGAATAAGAATGAGCTGTTTTTTTGACAGTTTCGTGACACGTTAATTTTACGTTTTATGCAGGTATGTATGCAGAGCTTTTTGTTTGTGGAATACGTACAAACATGCAAACAGCAATGCGGCACAGTGCGATTCGGGCTATGAATGATGACGGCCCCGAAAAGGCTCTCCTCCTTTGGGTGTGCTCCCTTTTTTCTTCGTATACAATTTGTACGAAAATTGATTGCCAAGAACATGAAGTATGTATGTATGTTGGGAGAAGTGGTGTCAGAAGCTGCGCAGCTGTTTGAATTTTCTAGGAAAAAGCTTGCTGACCTGTATACGCCAACCGCTTGGCGCTTAAAACTGTGCCAGTGTGGCAGGCAATCAGATAGGACTGAGGAGAGAGTGAGGATTGCATAGATTTGGTACGATCTGCTGCTGTTACCGAAACAAATGCTGATGCCGATGCTGACACTGACGCTTGCTGCATGTGTGTCCTCAGGCGAAGTTCTACATTTTCAAGATTTTCTCACGACAAATTGAATTTTTATTAGCCAAAAGGTTTGAAATTTTTTGTTTGATTTTGATTTTATGCTTTTTAAATTCTCTTTATACACCAATTTTTTTTTTATGCCTTATGTGGGTGATTTATTGACCGCGGCTTGTGAGAGTTTACAAAGCGCACATTATTTTTTAACGGTTTCTAAGAATATTCGAGTTTATTGTTTTTGGTGCATTGTTATTGTCTGCTGTGCGAAATGCTAATATATGCGGCAAACGATCGAGGTCAATTGCAATTAGTTAGCAACACTTTGAGTACCGTTTTATTTGGCTTGGTACTCGCAAAAGTCGCCTCCACTTAATCTCCACTATTTGTCAACACAAATGTGTCTATTGGCTTCTGCAACATTGTCAGCAAATGCAAATAACAATTGGCAACTTGTTGTCAACACTTTAAAATTCAAGTGACAACTGTGTACATAGGTAGACATTTGTATGTACGAGTATGCACTTGCGGCTGTAACAAGCGGTGTACAGTAAGGCTTATTGCAGTCGTAACGGCAAGAAATATGACACAAATGCGCTGTTGACAAATGGTTTGGATTGCGGGACTATTGAATCATTAATGGATGCCGACAGCTTAGTAAAATATTTTAACAGTTTTCTTAAAGAAACAAGCCTGGGATAGTTTACTTTGTAGAGCGTTTTCGTGGGAAAAAATGTAAATAACAGCCTAAAGCATCCCAGCGTATATAGTTGAATAGTCTTTGTTAAAACACTATTCAATATCGAGAGCTTTTAGCCCAGGAAGTTGTGCTATTACTGTAACATACAAATTTCCTAAAATAGTATTTGTGGAACGCTGTTGAATTGACAATTATTTGGCAATGTGGGAGCGCTTCAAGGGCCTATGGGTATAGAATAAACTTGTCACAGATAGCCAATTGACTGAAATACGGCCTTATTCGAGGAAAGCTAACCAAGTTCGTCTGTACCACATTCTTTCTTGAAAGCTTACTCTAACTCTACTGCAATATATACAATAGGGTAATTCTGGCAACTGCCTCTCAACTCACCGCAGTCTTTCGTAAGATAAAAGTTTTTCGTAAGACAAAGGCAATTCTGGCAACTATCATGAAATAAAATAAAATAAAATAAAATAAAATAAAATAAAATAAAATAAAATAAAATAAAATAAAATAAAATAAAATAAAATAAAATAAAATAAAATATATCTTTGCTTTTCTTTCAAGATAAATAACAACTAAAAATTAAAACAAAATTAAAATAGTAATAGGGCCATTCCATTGTGACTAGTGGGACATTTTACTCCAGAATGTGATCAATTGTGAATTTTCACTATGTCGTCGCAACTTATACAACAGCGAAAGATATTCTTTAATATAGAACGTTAGCTAATGTATAAAATTGCTATAACAAAAATACCAAACGATTTCTTAGTTTTATGTAACTATCACTTGATTGAATGTGACTGGTGGGACACTGAAAAGAACTCTATTTTACCCTTGCGCACTCAAAGATGAAACACTTAATTTTCACGAGCGATGTATTTGTCGCAGTCTTCGCTTGATTTCAATTAGAAACACTGTAACAATTGAACGTATATGTTTATGTAGATATGTATGTATGAATGTGCAACAAAATTCGTGATATATAACCGGGTGCTTCTGGAAGCTTAGAGCAAATAGACGCCTGACAGAAAGAAGGTAGGTACAAGTCGCAACCAATGGTGATAGCAAACGCAGAACTAACGACAACACCACCGCCCACTAGCATGCTGCATACTTATGCATACAAACAAGTGTGTTTTCAAGTAAGTATGCATACAAAAAAAAGAGTAAGTAACTAAATGAAATTCGCATTTGCGCATGCGCATGTGCGTCAATATTTAAACAGCCACCTTGTACTTGCATAGCGGTGCGTTGCCAAAGCGTGTGACCATCAGCAGCGCGTCATAGCAATCGTCGTGCGATGTTGTGTTGACAAAGAAAAATGCAGTCATAAAATTAACTTTGCCACACACATAAAATAAACAGTACGCAGACCCTTTATTCCTCGCCTCGTACAACAACCAAACAAACAAAGCAATTCAAATTGGAAAATATTGCACGGTATTGTAAATTTTGCTGCAACACTAAATACACAGACGTGAGTGTGAAATTACAAACAGTCAAAGGTGCGCAAAAAATGCAAACGATCGAATTGTCGAATGAGCGCTGGGCCAACTGGGTGACTGAGTGGCTGGGCGAAATTGCGAAAATGCGACCGGCAACGCGAATACGATTGCGATGCGGTACTACTGATAAGCGGAAAGAAAGCTATGCCACATCAAACTATGCCACATTGCAATTGCGCAGCGCATTGTAAGTGCAATGCGCAATGCGCTACTTTGTGGCATTAATGCGCAGGCGAACTTTGTGGCAACAGCGTGCGCAATGTGGCGTGCGTATCCAATCAGCAATCTGCGCTTGAACGCGTGTTGATTTCATTTGATTTGAATTTTTTTTTTCCCAAAGGCGCACAAATTCGCACAACAAGCGTACATTTGAGCGGCTGCGCCAACACACATACATACATACATACTCGTACAGAGGCAGCGGCTTTAGCATTGGCATGCAACATTGATTTTTAGTTAGTTAAATGCGTTCGCTTGACTTGACTTCCTTGTCGCGCATTTCGTCGAAATCGTAATTGCTAACTGCAGTGCGGTAGCAAATAATTTTGCTCTTTATGTTGAGCTAAGCGTTTGTTTTCCTCAAATTGCTGCTTTAACTTAGCTGTGTTTATGAATATGTTTGTTTTATTTTTAGCTTTTTTTTTCTTTGAACCGACAATCTACAAAATTATTGGCGCCACACTGCTGTGAACATAAATTTTGCGTGCGCCTGCGCAGTTTTTGGCAGTCAGCTAACACATCACTTCACTTCATCAACAGCAACTTGCATTGTTACACCTTTTCACACTAGTTTTTTTTTTTGAAAATTTTTTGCAATTTCGTTTTTTTTTTTTGAGTCGTTGCATATTGATATGCTTGCGGAATTGCGATACAATTTACGAGTACTTCCCATTTAATGGGAATTTTATTTCAAGTTAATTGCAATCGATTTTTGTGACATAAATTTTTGTGCAACTCGAGGAGTTTGACATTTTTTGCACCTCAACAATTTTGTTCAAGTATTTTTTTTAGTTAATAGCAAACATTTATTTTGACACTTTGTTGCGCAAATTGTGGGTGTGGGTTATATGTGTAGGTATGTATGTACATTAGGGTGGTAAAAATTAAAAAAAAAAAAATTAAAATAATAAAATTAAGTCGGAATTTTAGCGCTCTCACCCCCTAGCATTGTTTTGTATCGAAAAAATATACCCTTAGTTTTAATTTTGAAATCAAAAAGCATTGAGAGGTCGCGCAAAGCGCTTAAAGTTTTCCATGTATTTTATATGCGAAAAAAACCCCTTTACTTAGAAATGGTGTAGAATTATTGAAAATCGATATTTTTCGTCTGGTTCTTGTCAGGAGATTCCCAAATCGAATGTTGGTTGAGCCATTTTTTAATATCTTTTGATTTCAAAGTAAAGAATAGCGGTATTTTTTCGCTATAGAAATATCCTAGGGGGTGAGAGCATAAAAATTCCGACTTTGCTTTTTCCCCACCTGCATTTTTGGACCACCTTAATGTACATACACACATATGCATGTGTCTATACAATACTTTGTACTCACCTCTCAGGTATCGTGCTGTAGTAGAGCAGCACCGTTGCAATTTCGTAACAATTCAGACCGGCTGCAAGTACACATTCCGCATCGACAGTTACAATCGGATGGCCTTTTAGATCACTGGTACCTGGAAACAAAAAAAAAAAAACAACAATCCGATGTAATTACTTGCCGCTCTATGTGTTAAATATTTATTAAAGTTATTATTATTATTATTGTTTGAGAGAAAATAAACAAATTGTGCTGAGCTTTTTTGCAGCGCTACGGGGTATAGTCGTTGTGCTGGGTATGCAGTTACAGTTGCACGACTATACTCTGGGCAACGTGAGCAACCCATGTGCGAGATGCGGTAACCAATCCGAATGCATCCTTGGGTCAAGGCAGAAAAAGAGGTAGCTTCGGTGAGGCGACTCCAACTTATTCGGTTTAAGGGCTTACTGACGTCTGCAGCGTCTGTTCACCAGCAGGTGCGGCTGTAAGCGGGCGTCTGTCTTGGAGCAAGCGGCTGGTTAATAAAAGTGTATTATGTTGCGAAACCACTTCCATCCCAGCAATGGGTAGTGCGCTGGATTTGGGGCCCGGCACGAAAAGACTCCTTCCAGTGAAGCAGGAAAAAAAGCCTCGGATGAGACACCCCTTTTCATGACGACCACGGCATTCATCTGGAATGCTCGGGCCCTTAATGAGAAAGGTGCCTCTGGCCAGTGGTTGATGTCGTCGTAAGGATAAAAGCTGACATCTCCGCAAATTCGGTGTTGGATTTGTGGTGGGAGAGAGACTCCGTCACTGAGTACTGTCGTTCCCCCGGTGGACGCGCGTCTAGCTACAATCCGCATCAATTCCAAAGTGCGAAAGGAAGATATACTTGGAACCACCGTCGGAAAATTCAGCCTCCACGGCGGAACGTTTGACAACGTACTGAGGCTTATCGACTTAGCCGGGGCCCGAAACATGGTAGTATACAGTACCATGAAGCTACACGGCTATTGCGGTAGACGGAAGGCACGCTTAAAGTGTTTTGGACGTACTTATACTTCGGGGCCCAAACATCGACTCGGACCATTATCTTGTTGCAGCCAAGATACGCACCCGCCTCTGTGTAGCAAAAAAATTTGCAGCCAAAAATGCAAGGAAAGCTTTACGTCGAAAAGCTGCAGTCACAACAGACGGGCAATGCATTCGCTACTCGCCTCTCATACCTGCTCTCAGAGAGTACTGTTCAACAAACTGATATACGCGAGCAGTGGAACCACATTTACCGATCATTAAGTACCGCCGCCTAGTAATAAGAAGCAATAAGAAGAGATAGGCCGAAATACGTCATTGCAAGGAGCTTGAAATGCTGGGTGACAGGAAAAACGCCCGAAAATTTTACCAGAGAGTTAGGCGATTTACGGAGGGTTACAAGAGCGGGGCGAAATCCCTTTAAAAGCAACTATGGTGATCTAGTGACGGCACTGAAAGTAGTAGAGACGACGAATCCGAACCCCCAGTCGATGACGATGGAGTCGATGATAAGGTACGAATAACGATCGTGCGGCTAAAAAAAAAAACGAAGCTGCTGGAGCTGACGTTCTGCCAACCGAGCTATTCAAGTGTGGTGACGAGGAGCTGACAAGGTGCATGCATCAACTCTTATGCAGAATTGCCGAATGGTGTCAGATCAACGCAAGCCCGATGACTGGAATTTAAATGTGCTCTGCCCAATCAAGAGAAAAGGCGACAGCACTAAAAGGAGTTGCCTATAAGCCACGTTGTTTTAATTTGGTATCCTTACGTCGGGCAATACCATCGTCAGAATTAGAAAGGACCTTTCCGCACTGTTTAATACCAAATGAGGTTTCCGACAAGGTGACCCTATTTCATGTGAATTCTTTAATCTGATATTGGAAAAGAAAAAAAGAGCCTCAGAGCTAAACCGCTTAGGAAAAATATACTACAAGTGCGTGCATGTAATTTGGTGCAAGCTCTATTTTTGCATAAAAACCCAGAAATATGAAAAAAATTGTGTGGATTGGCGACCAGCCACGCCTCTCCTCCCTCACACTAGTGGAGAATTCAGTGAAATTCGGTTTGTAACTTGGAATAACCTAGGAAGATCTAAATAGGAAAGATCGGTTAACTGCCACGCCCGCCGACCCTTGAATGTCGTATTCGGATCATTGTTGGAGCTTATACAATAACGGTTAGTTATCTTAAGAAGATGCTCATAAATTTTCAATTGATTTCGACTATTTATTTGGAAATTATGAGCAATGCCCCCGCCTAGATTGCCCGTTTTTACCACTGCGCGTCGGGCCGTTTGGGGTAAAAGTACCTAAATTGCAAGTTCAGATTCCTCCAACCCCAAAAAACCCTAGAAACGGATTTTGCAATTGAAACGAAACGCTTTAAATCGATAACCTGGAAAAACTGAAAAACTACTTTCCTATATACAATCCAGATTTTCAGAAAAACTTGATTTCGTCTATTCCATTTGGCAGGCTGCCGAACAGTGTTATGAAAACATTTTTATAATTCTTACGAAGATTTGGCTGACATTTCTAAAGCTCCACCATGAAATTATTATTATTTAGAGCCTCTGATTTTAACAGTTTAGTGCTTGGAAAAAGGCCTCGAACCGCATTTAAATGCCTCTTACGTTTTCTCTGTTTTCTTATGAGCCCAGTTATGGTACTTTGGAGACAGTCGCACTTCCCAGCAACAACCCAGTAGTATCGATCTTGCCGCCTCAGCCATTCTCTTACCTTCATTGAATTTAAATTCGTGACACATTAACGCTCACAAAATTTGACCCAAAGACCCGCTTTTGTAAGTATCTAACAGCAATATTACTTATTCATAGCGCTTTCAATCTGTCACTTTTCATTAAGCGTGAGCATATTTTATTAAAAGTGAAAAGCTTTAAACAAACGGGTACATGATTAAATTTCTGTAGCGGCGAAAAAAAAAAATTGCATCGACGAACCAATTTGCATGTCAATTAAATTTATGTCATTTACGCTACAAATGAACTTGACACAATTACCACGGCCAGACAGCGTGATACCACAGCAAACTCCCAAACACCCAAACACCCAATCGCCTAACCGCTTAACCACCAAGCGCATAGAGCGCATGCCACATGCCACCACATACATAGGAGGCGTACCTGTGTGCAACATTCACTTTACACCCCAGCCAATTTCGTACACTTTGGGTGGTCAATTGAATGTTAATGTGTTAAAATGTAGATGAAACAACAACAACAATAACTTTGTGCGAACAACGAATGCAGCGAGCGGCAGTTGCAACGTTTACGAGTTCACACAAGCGCATACGGCCATTCATTCATACGTAGAAGCGCTTCTTTAGAAAAATTTAATTAAGCGCGCAGTCTAGTCTGGAAGAGTCTTCAGCGGCATGCGTGTTGACGCTGATGATGCCAATGGTGGCATTGAAATTGATTTTGCCAAGTGTTGCACGTAAAATTGAATGACACTAATGAAAATGAAAAGCCAGTTAGTTAGTTAGGCAGATAAGCTGAAGCGCGCTCCGATGCTATTTAATGTTGGCGTGTAAGAATTTCACTTCCACCTCACACAAATCACCGAATTTATGACATGGCTGGCTGCTTGGCTAGTCTTAGCTGGGGCCATTTGTGATGATGAGCGCACGGAAATTTGATGCGTTGTGGCATTGGCATGGCGTGCGTGCGATCGACATCACACGATCGTTATCAATAGCGCGATCAACCTAGTCAAGTGTTGTGGCAATTAATACAGGCACATACTTATGCATGTATGTATGTATGTATGTACGTATGTAGGAACGTGGGCTTGGCAGGAAAGCAATTGAAATGCAAATCGATTTGGCGATAACGTCGGAAGCTTGTGAGCGCATGAATCAAAAAACAAATTTCTAACAAATTGAGTTTATTGGCTTAGTGGAACAATTTATATGCAAAATTTTGTAGCGAAAGTTCGATCGAGAATATTTAAATCGCCATAAATAAAAGCGTGGTGTTAATGAGAAATATGCAAAAACGATTAAGTCGCGCCAATGGTGGGCAATCAAAGCGGGCGATGGAAATACATACGTACATACACATAGGGCCGGATTAAAGCAGGGGCCGACGGGGCCGCGATCACGATAAAATTAGTTATTAGAAAATTTTTGTATGGCACAAAAAATTTTGTCATCAAAATTTTTGGTAAAATATTAAAGAGTATTTTTTGCATGCTCACATTCTTAAGTTTTTCTGGCGTTACAAAAAGTCAAGAAAAACTTTACAAAAAGCAGCTCATCTATAGTTTTACATATTTTGATTATTGCTTTTCATAAGCTTTTATTTAACTTGCTCATCGCACAGAAATTTCCAATCGATGTTGAACTAAGTAGTTCCCCGACAAGTCAAAGAATGGCACCGATTGAATTCTAGTACAATGTGCAACTCGGAGGTTCAGAACTTAGCTTATGTAGACCAAGCAATGCAGTAACTTGAGATGCGGCGTGCGGCGTTAAAGTGAGTTGTCAACACCGTAAAATTTCTAGCGGAACATGGCGTGGCTTCCCGAGATTCCGATGCAATTTTTGAATCATCGAGTGATGGAAATTTATTTCGAAAACTTGAACTAAGAGTAACTACTAGCTCATTGTCATCCATTTTTAGCTGGACACTTCATGGAACACGGAAACATGCGATCAGTGTGACCAGGTTTGAATTTTTGAGGCTCGATTCAAGCAATTATATTTTTGCTCCAGCCTCGGAATTTTAGGTATGCCACCAAAAAGGTATGAAATCTAAAAATTAAAAAAAAATGTCATCGTTTTCTACGAAAAATGTTGCCTCAAAAGTGTATTAAGTGAAATTTCGATTAGACGCATAGTTGCTCTTACAAAATAATTCGTAAATTAGCAGTTGGGTATTGTTATTGGAAGTCTCCTGAAGAGAACCAACCAGAGTTTTCCGATCGAAATATATTTTCAAGAATTCTATACCATTTGCACGAAAAGTTGTTTTTTCCGCATATGAACTACATGGAAAACTTTGAGCGTTTTGAACCATCTCTAAATATTTTTTGATTTCAAAATAAAAAATAGGGGTATATTTTTCCCACTTTACTTCTTTTGGACCACCCTAGTGTACATATATCAAATTTGATCGCAAAGCAGCGGCGATCGATTTCTTCGATTTTTTTAGAGGAGCTTTTTATTTTTCACGTTTTCGGGAATACAATATGACATTTTGAGCACTAAATTGTCAGCTTTGGAAACAGCTACAGCCTCAAAAATGTATATGTTACCCGCTGGTCACGTCGCGACACGATGCGTTGATGCTATAAAAGGGTTGAGAGTTGGATTTCTCCTCGATACAGAAGCGTTGATAGCAATGCGAAATGGCGATGAATAGTTTAATATTGTAAAGAAAATGAGGCCGCTCGAAACAGCATGGTGCATTGTCTTCTGGCTTTAATTCGAGTAGAAAATCTCTAGCCTTCGAGATATACAGAGAAACAGCTAAAACATTTGAATCTTTTCGAGTCAGAGCAAGCTACCTATCGGCTCAAAAATAACGACGAAACAACGTTCCGCTAGGGAAAAATTTCGTACGTGGTGACTTATTCCACGCTAAATTTAATCTGTAGGTAATCGTTATAGAGCCCCACCCGCACATTTCCTCCGGCCCATGCGGCCCCACCAATGTTAATCCGGCCCTGCATATACACATAACTAAATATATTAATTTATTAGAGCGGATGTTGTGTTTTTTTCGTTTTTTTTTTTTTGGCAATCAAACTTACCTGGCAGATAAATACCCGATGTGGTTAAGAGCTTCTCAGGGATTTCGCCGATCGAAGCAGGTGGCACAATTTCGCATTCGAATTGATCTGTAATAAAGATAAGATAATTTGATTGGTCGTTATTGCTTTCTGATATAGATACATACTTATTCATTATTAGAATTCGAAATTGCATTGCTGGTGCTATTAATATGTTTTTTTTTTGGTAGTCGCTTGGATTTGAAAAATTTTTGACTGCTTGTAGTGAGTGGCAATTTGAAAGGTATAAATCGGTCAGTGGTCAGTGGTTGGCGTTTCAAAGTTAAGTACATACAACTATGGTTTTTTAAATTGCTGGTTTCCGAATATATTTTCATACATACTCATGCTAAAATACTATGTAGCAAATGTATGTTTGTATGTACGTATTTATTCTCTTGTTTGCCGTGTTCTATTTAATTGCTGTTACTCAGCCCACACACGCGTTGTTTTAAATTGCATACCACTTATTTATACATATTGCTATTGGTATGACCAAATATTTAATGCACAAAGTGTGTTAGCTCATAGCTTGCTAATATTTTTGGAAAATACTTAGGTACGTACATACATACATACATGCTTTGCAGGAAAATAAGAAACTTTTTGGTTGTGATTACACCTCTCGATAGTCCATTTTACACAAGAAAAATCAATAGACCTGGGCCAAATATAGTCAAACTGTGATTTTAGTTCTTCTCCCCGACTTCCGGATTTTTTAAATGGACTTTGAAATTTCAAGGATATGATTAATTCAATGTTTTTTTTTTTGTAATTTAGTGCATTCTACATTGCAACAAGATGGGTATCAAAAGTGAAAATTCTCTATAATAAAAAAAATAAATATTTTTTTTTGGTGTAGAAGGCCGAATTTTCATTGAAAATGTCCTTCACTACTACATACTCCTAATTTTAATAGTTTAGGTACAAAAACATTTATGAAATGGGCATTTTTAAAACTTATTCGTCCTTATGAACCAAAAAATAATATTTTCTTTTAGTTCTACAGAATTTTCATGTGGTTCCTCTACATTGCACAGAATTTCTTAAATAATTTTTTGAATTCACAATATCCCTGAAATTACAGTCCTTCTAAGAAATATGCTAACTTCAAAGAAAAAAATGAAAAACTTTTTTTTTTCAAAAATAACTAACGGAAGTTTTCAAGGATATTCAAGGATAAAGTGTTTGAAGGACACTTTCAACGCTCGTTCATCCTTGTGAACCAAAAAATAATATTTTTTTAATTCTACAGAATTTTCTCTTTCATATGGCTCCCATATTGTTATTCTACATTGCACAGAATTTTCAAAATAATTGTTTGATTTTAATATCCTTGAAATTTTATGGTCCTTTTATAAAATATGCTGACCTGAGAGAGAAAAACTTAAAACTGTTTCTCGAAAAGAACTATTGGAAATTTAAAAGGATAAAGTTTTAGAAGGACATTTTCAATGCCTGTTAATCCTTGTGGACCAAAAAATAATAATTTTTTAATTGTACAGAATTTTCTCTTCCAAATGGTTTCCAAATTTTTATTCTGCATTGCGCAAAATTTTTAAAATAAGTTTTTGAATATATTATATACTTGGAAATTTCAAAGTGTTCTCTTTCATATGGTTCTCATATCATTATTCTACATTGTACAGAATTTAAAGTTTTTTTATTTAATATCCTTGAAATTTCAAAGTCCTTTTAAAAAATATACTGACGTAAAAAAGAAAAATTCAAATCGCGTATTTCGTGTGTTCTGAATATTTTTTATTTTTGTCGCAATTTTGTATAGAACAGGATTGAGTTACACAGCAGACATACATACATACATATGTATGTAAGTATATCGTTACCTTACATTTTAATTTTACGAGACCCTTAGCTAAGAACACAACTACAGATGTTTATACATTTGGAAAAAAAATTTAAAACTTATCAAACTTTTAGACTTTTTATCGATCCTTTTCTGCGCTTCGGCTTTTGTAGAACCGTTCTGAGTTTTTTTGGCGGTTTTTATGAATTATTTATGAATTTTCAAGAATTTTTTTTTGCATTATTGAGCCTACTCGGAAATTTTTAGTCTGTTTTTCTGCTCAAAACAATACAAATCAAACGCGGACTCATATTATTGTTTTCTGTTGTAAAATGGACACAGCGTGTCTCAGAGTTTTTAACTTTTTTTTATTAATTTTTGTACAAAGGCAAGCGCCTTTAAAGAGTTTTTCGAAGTGAAGCTTTCTTAAATTTCTTTCATCTGACATCCATATTATTATATTTAATTTGATTTATTGATTACATCAAAATTCTTTTTTAAATGGCTGGCAACCCCTTTAAAACTATTTGCGAAATAAATCTTTCTTATATAGTATACTTATTACTCTTTGGATTCACAACCGTGCTGGGATATTTTATTCAACTTTTAACGAAATTTAGTTAAATTTAAAAAAAAAGAAAAAAAGTTAAAAAGTTCCTCCCTACATTGCAATACTTTATTTAACTCGCTAATAGGTGAATTTGACTATTAAAAAGGTGGGAACCCTCTTTGAAACATTTTTAAAACAATGGGTTCTCAAACCTCTTTTGCTTGGATACTTTAGTTAGTTTTTCTGACCGAAATAATAAGAATCAAAAGTGAACTAGAATTTTTGCATCTTATTATAAAATGTCTAAATTTTTTTATTTTATTTAAATTTTTTTTCGACCTCTTTTAAAAATAATTTTGGCGATCTCTTTTCTAAATAATTTCCAAGGAGAACTTTTTAAATTTCCTTTGAATTGACATCCCGATTGTTTGATGCATTTCATTCAACCTATTGATTAAATTTAAATTGTCTTTTAAATGGGTGGCCACTCCCTTTAAAAATATATTCGAAATAAAGCTTCATTATGCTTTACCCCTTTGGATTGACATGCATATTGTAATATTTTATTCAACATATTGACCAAAATTAATTTATACATGTTTTAAAAAGGTGGCATTCCTCTACAAAAAATAACTAATTTTAAATCCACCTATGTCTTTTGACATCGATATTATAGTACTTTAGTTAACTTATTAAGAAATTTAATTTGACTTTTGGGGGTTGCCACGTATCCTCTTTAAAATATTTTTCAAATAATTTATACTTAACCTCTGTTGTTTGGTACCCATATTTTAATTATTTATTTAATTTTTTATAAAATTGTTTTGTCTATTCAAACAGGTGACAATTAAAAATATTTTCGAAATAAAACTTTTTTAAATTACTTTCGTTTTGCAACCATATAGTAAAAATTTGGTTGGACTTTTAATCTAAAATGAACTTTACTTTTTACAGCAGGTGGCAACGCTTTTAAAAATCATCCTATAAATTAAATCCAAATCATCGGCTCTCTGTGCGCCACTTTTCAGCAAAATCCATTAAGTCGCGTTAGCGTGAAATCACTCACAAACTTTCAGATATATTTTAGTAGGTTTTTATCTTATTTTATATATTTTTTTCTTACTTTTAATTTTTTAACATAACTAATTTTTTATCAAAATTTCGTAATAAAAATTCACAAAAATTTTACTAAATTTTATTTTTCTACATTTATCTATTTATACAAAAACATTCTTCAATTAGTCAAGTCTTAACGCTTCCATCATTTAATCGATTCAAGTGCAATATCTCTTATCGGCATATATCAAGTGACTATTTATTTGCTGGCCAAATACTTTTACTCTTTTCTGTTTAAATACATATGTACATATATGTATATGTATATACGATTCCAGCTCACATGTGAATGGACATTTGGCAAATAGCGTTTCGCGCCTGCACTGAAAATCATTTGGCATTGATGGGGAAGTGTGTCGAGTGACCCGCATATGGCGGTGCAGCAATCAATGCAACAAAAACAATGCGTACTAAAAACTCAAATGAATTGCTTACGCGCTCACAATCGCATTCAATTGTGGGAGCTTGCAATTGCTGCCAGCTCTTGGACGGCCGACGACTTACCACCGCACGGCGGCTATTTACTCAACGGGGGATTAAATTGCAAATCAACAGCACTGCCAAAAAAAAAACAAAAACAAGAACACTTAGTGGCATATATGCATAAAAAAACACTAAAAAAACTAAAAAAAGCTTAAAAAAATGTTTTTACTTAACCAGAGCATTGTTGCAGGTGCGCGCACCGCAAAACTGCGTGGGCTACACGCTCACATTTTTTTAATTACTACAGCTTGTTTAGCGGCAGCTATCGGAAACGATCGATTGCAGTGCCACGATGAATGAAAAGCGTGCACTGTGATATGCTCGTAATTGTGTATGTGTGTATATGCATATTTGCATGCATGTATGTATGTATGTACGTATGTACGTATGTATGTTCCTCAATCTGCAGCCAAACACTTTTATTACTTTTATATGTAAGAGGTACATAAATATTTGCTCTAAATACCACAGAAGCAAACATTTGCACACAAATCCATATGCTTTGCAACTCCCGCAACAGTCGAACAAATACTCGTATGTACGTAGATGCTTGCGAGTTTGTACGTATGTAGCTATCGTTGTGCGTTTGAAAAATGCAAGTATTTTAGTTTTTTTTGTTAAATAATTTCAACCAGTTTGACATTTTTTAGTCTGCCCACTGAAATTAACTTTGAAAATTCACACATGCCACACCGCGGCATGCAACACTCAACATCAACTAACTGTCTTGCCTTGTGGCAGCGCACATTTGTTGCATGTCGCCGTGTCGCCACATTGTCGTTGCAGGTGGTGCTGCTGCGGCGATTTTCCACAGACAAAGTAATGCAGTTAGCAACAATTGTGTATATATACACATATATATATGTGTGTTTGTGTGTGTGTGTGCATGTGTGTGTGTGAATGCAGATCTACATACATCTCGAATGTGTTAAATGAATTAATGCACCTTGACACCTACACATGCCGCGAGCCAAATATGTGATCACAAAAAAAAAGAAAAACAAAAAGAAAAGCGAAACAGAAACAGAAACACAGTACGTATTCAAATGAAAAAATTGGTTTGGTAATTCAGAAATTATTATGCAAAGCATACAATCAAATTGCAGCCATTTA